TTTCAAGCGAGTCTTCTATAGACTCGGGCTATCGATAGGATATCATCCATGGAGATTTATTATCGGCTTATTCTTATTCACCGCACTTTGTTCAATAGGATTTCTGCGATTTCATCAGGTTTGTTCACACTTCTATTTTTTTCATGCTGATAACAAAGAAAGGGACAAAGAAGTTTGGGATGTGGGGCGTTAAGTCCTTACTGTTTCAACGTGCGCAAGCTAACAGGGTGTTTTTTTGGTTGACTCGAAATACTGCGATATGGTTCGACGTTAAATCAAATAGGTCTCGGTGCGAATGACGCGCACGTGATGCTTATCGAGACCCCTCTTCCACCAACCCTACCGCAACTTGGAAGTAACGCGCAACGCTCAGAAACTGTATTCATTCCTTGAGAAAGTAAAAAAAAACGTACTGGGAAGTGTTTAGATAAATAATGCCAGAATAACCTATACTGATTCGGAATCGCCTAGTCATGTCGAAGCTCGAGTACTTCAAACGTTTTTACAGCAGAATGGAACATTGAACATGATAGAGGTGATCTTTAAATCAAGTTTTTCTATCTATGGCAATTTTACATTTAATGCGGTCTTGCATTTTTCAACAGAGTGCCTTTCATTTTCATTCAGTCTTAATACTATCACGTTTTTTAGTTTTTTTTTCATTTTTTTATCAGGTCCCACTTTCTGACGAATGTAAATCACTTTTTGCTTATAAATAGCATTGATACGTTATGTTTTTACCGCTCTGATTCACATCGATTTCCGTCCTAGAAGTTAATTGCTAGTAGCGCCGTATACCGCAAGGGGATCAGGTCCCTCCCTGAAGGAACTCACCCATGCCTGCCCATGGAAGCTAACTCTTCTTCAATCAGACATCTGTTACGTAGATTCGAGGGGAACTGTGGGAGGGGGAGAGGGAGGAAACGCCTGAGTTGGGCGTGACAGTCGTCGAGTTTATTGGCATGGGCTCCGTCTGAGCTTTAGAACGCCCACCACTTCGAAATTTTTTATCAACATATCTATTTTTAGCTTGTCGACCCATTATCGACATGAAGAACGTCACTTAAAAGCAATAGGCGCAGGCTGCGGCGACGGAAAGGTTTCATACTTTCATTCGATTCACCTGGTTTCCGGCTTTACCAGTACCGCATTCTAGCAAAACCATGCTGCCCACCCTTGCACATAAGCCTGGGAAGGCAGAAAGTCTGTCGAGAGGCCGTCATGGTGAAACTGTACAAACTCGAGAAGAGGCCTGTTCTAAGCACGTCGATGAGAAGATAGCAAACCGTGAAGAAAATGCGTCCCCCCGCCCTACAGTGGCCGCCGAAATGCACTGGCAAGCTGATAAATCATGGCAACCTACTACGTCCTGTACCACGGTGATAACTATTCCATTCAGATAATGATTGAGTCTCGAGACAACAGAAGTCTGCTAAGAGACGACCACAGGCAACAGATGTGGGATCTGATCCATGAAATCAACAACGAGATCACTGTGAAGGTGGGTTTTGTTGTGAAACGGTCTAATGTGAAATGTGGCGCGATTTACCCTTTACTGCTCCATTCTCTGGAATTCAGGCTCGAATCGAAATTCTTTTCTAAATAGATTCGGTAGGAAAATTGTCTTAGTGGGTGCTCCATCCCTCTCTTAAGCTCTTACACTATCAATTTGTATTAAACAGAAGTTCCTCGTACCTGCGCCGCGGGTACTTTTGGTGGCAGTGCCCATAGCACCCGTATCAGGCACGTTAGTAGGACATTCATGTTCAGCTGTCGAAAGACCTCTAGGGACGTGTTTTCAAAAAAAGTGCTTCGAGTTGCTTGGGTGTGGGGCCGACGGCTTTGAGCCACACCGACGCGTTTTTTGTGTTCTGGGGCAAACTCCCCTTATTGGTAGGATGGCTAAATCTGCCTGCGGGAAAAAGTGTCTAATAAGATCTAGCCGGAATTTCTATGTGTGGGGCAATAAATGGTGAATGGTGCCGTACCCACACAGTTTGCAAGTCTTAGATAATATAATTCATTATATAGAAGCAGAGAAAAATATTGACTGTACCACATCAAATAGAATCTTTTCAGAACTCATCAGGTCATCGGCTAACGTACAACGACATGTGCGAACCGTACTGTCAGAAGAACGACGCGTTCATAGCTCTACTGAAGCTGTACAACAAGAACTTCTCCAGAATTGAGGTAAGTTTTTGGTAGCTTGAGTGCAGAAACATCAAGTATTGGTCGTACACGGCGACGAATAACGGTAACGCGAATACAGTAGCGTGGAAGAAGCTGGCTGTGTATTTTAATTTGTTGGGCATCAATCTGCCTCACATAGATCCTTGTACGCTGCTGCCCAGTTTCTATCTGCCGTGATGGATTTGACGTTTTTACAGAACTGAAACTATTTTATGGCTCTAGTAACCTTACAGGGGACTTGTTATGGGCTCCATATGCAAAATGAGATAACCGTAATCCGAATGAAATTTGCATGTTTGATATTTGCTGCTCCGTCGCTACCTTTTTAACGACACCGCTCACATTGAGATACCTAGCGCAAAAATTCGCTCATCTTCACCACGCGCACGCAGTTTCTAGCAAAAATAGAGTTCCCAAAGGCCTGAAAGTGCCTCTCCAAGCTTATCAGCGCCCCTTTACTCTCCTTATCCCCGATACGGAAGACACGACCACAGCTATGTCAAAAGAAAGTCTCTCTCCAAAAGGACAGCACCGCCACGTTCTACGCAGCCACGCCTCGCACATATTAAGGATTTCGACTGTGTTCTGCTGGTTTCTTATTGTGCGTGGATAGTGTAGTCGCAAGAGGCGTCGATTAGCGCACGTGGTCTGGGGATCAAATCCTGGATCAGCTCCTATTCGGGCAAACCGAGTTTTCTATCTCTCTTGGATAGCTAAACTGCCACGAGGTTTGTTTGAAAGGATAAAAACACTAATTATCCCCTGAACTAGCCCCGTTATGTACTTATTGTGCATACCACGCCGTACTTTCAGGGAAGCGGTACTCGAGAAGAGCCTCGTCAACGGCGAATACCTCAACAGCTGATTTTTTTCTTGCGTTGCTGGGCCTCTTTCGCCATTTGTGATTCCCATGTAGTGAGCAAGGATAAGGAATGAGGGGTAGATCATATCGCAGACCACATGTTGAAAGAAAAAAGTCCTTCAAAAATGACTAATGCTTCAGATATTATTGAGCATAGATCAGACTCTACAGAAACATCAGCACATCCTTCAGCATAGGGCTCAGAGATGCGCGCTGTCGCCACCAGGATATGGAACTCGTTTCACAGAAATTGGACTGTGACTACAAGTTATCACTAGATTCACTCGGGGCGTGTCAACAGCACGTGGGTTCAGGCGCTGCCACAGCTCCTCTCCCACCACTCACTGAACACCCCAAGGCACATCGGAGGGAAACAGGCTGGCATCATGCCAAAAGCCACGCACCGCTGACACGCCGCGACTGATTTCAGTGATAATAGCTGTAGACTTCTTTAGAATACCGAACCATTCAGTTTTCACAGCGGGATACCAGTGAAGATTTATGCTTCTTAACTACGCTTTCAGGT